GCTCATTGGTCAGCACCAGAAAATCATTTAACTCAAGCCAATGGTCGCTCCACCTCCAGTCTAGTTATACTATCTAGTGTTATTTCATTGTTGGGTCCAGATGGTGATGATTCCCTGTCCAAGTTATTGTTACAGCTGAACCACACCTGGCTTCATCATTACAGTATCAGTTTATTGAAGGTTGATAGGACCGTTTGCATGGGGAGGACTTCCCACTTTACAGCAGCTGATATGTTCAGCATGTTGGATGGAGTCTCACTGCAGCAGATCCTGGACCTGCCACAGATCACTCGAGGTGGAAGCAGATGGGAAAACAGGCGTTAGGAACATGTAGATTTATTGAAACTAATATTTTCAATGCAATATTTTACAAGAATAACATGAAATGGGGCTGCACGGTGGCGCAGTTGGTAGCACTGTAGCACTGTTGGCTTGGAGCAAGAAGGTTCTGGGTTCAATTCCCAGGGGGTCTTTCTGCATGGAGTTTGCATGTTCTCCCCATGCATGTGTGGGTTCTCACAGGGTACTCCAACTTCCTCCCACAGTTCAAACATGCCTGTTAGGTTAATTGGTCACTCTAAATTGCCCTTAGGTGTATGAATGAGTGTGTGCATGGTTGTTTCTGTGTTGCCCTGCAATGGACTGGCGACCTGTCCAGGGTGAACCCTGCATCTCGCCCATAGACTGCTGGAGATAGGCACCAGCTCCCCCATGACCCACTATGGAAGAAACGGTAGAAAATGACTGACTGACATGAAATGATTTTCTAATTCCACTCACAACTCATTATTTTGGGTGTAGCATGATCCAAAAATGGATTCAAAAGGAAATCTGAAAGATACATTAACTACTGAACCCCCCATGTTCATGTTGAACCTGGTTTTAATTAATGACTCACAAACTCCAGGATGTTTTAAATAGGTGATCAATGTAGAAAGGAAGAGGACCAGATCACCTGACCCCTGTCAGATTTGGGTCAGGATGCACTCTCTCATCAGGTTTAAAGTTTTTGGCCTCTTTCACAAAACATTTCCATTATAAAGCTGCAGGATGAGCTCCATCTGGCCACTTGTAAGGAGGAGACAGTAATATCCCGCTCAGCTATGAGTCAGGAGGGTTGGTGCAGCATTGATGTCAGCACCACCTAGAAAATCTGCATCAAACATCTCTCCACACCATTCTTCGATAAACTAAGTGTAGCAGTTCTGTTGTTCGCCAAGCAAATGCTGCAGATTTAAGTGATACTTCTGACTTTCCTACTCTTCTGCTCAAAAATGATTTCTGATTCTTGTTCATGCTTTTAAATCCATCTGCGGGTTGGTAGGACAAACCGTACATCATCACCAAATCAGTCCTTCAATGAAGCTGGCTCACCCCTGGACAAGTCAGCTGATGCTGGGCTGTGACTACCTCACCTGGAGACTCCCTTGACTTCAGCCCTGAGGTGCTTTCACTACAC